CATTATGTTAGGAAACATTTATTATTACCCAGTTTTTTGGTAAAATATAAAAGTCGGGGTCACGTCGGGTAAATAGACACCAAACATGTCAAGCTTTAAAATTGTGCGCACCCGCGAAATCGCAGAAAACTACCATAGCCAAAATTGGCCATAGGCGACACTTTAAAAGCTTTTACCGCTCATCAGTTTAGTGTTATCAGTGATTGATGGCCCTAGACTTATTGCTCTCACTCGGACGTTTGTGGCGATATGTAACATGTGCGGCGTAATGGGCGCAATCGTCTTTTTTGCACGTATGCGCCCCCGACGCATGTTTGCATGCGTGTATGTATGGGTGAGGACTTAAAACATTTTTTTGTTTTTTTATTCTTTTTTTTATGTGTAACTTTAAAAAAAATTTTGGGGGGGGACTTACATTTTTTTTTCCCTTTTTTCCTAAACTTTATTGCTATCACATACGGGGCTAATAAAAAACCCCTATGTGATATCAAAATATGTGACAGGTCCTCTTTACGGAGACATCAGGGATCTCCAAGTCCCCTAATGTTATCTAGGACCCCCCAGTTGCTTGTATGGTAACAGGCATCGCTGCCTGTTTTTAAATTTCGGCCGTTTCCCGCTCGCACGCGCCCAGCTTAGGTCTAGAGAGCTCCAGGCCAGCCGTTTTTTTTTACTACGGCCGGCCCGGAAGTGGTTAAACACTTTAACAGCTGCTCTTGAACATTTAACGAATTCTGCTGTTTTGCTGATACTCGCTCCATGGCTCCGAGCGCCAACAATTATCCCACGTTCAAAGGCTGTTAAATCGCGTTGTTTACCCATATCTTCAGAAAAAAAATATCACTTCTACTGTCGTGGTAAACAACCTGCTTCCCTATTTATAATGGTCTGGCCCTCTAGCAACTTCAGAGCGAAATTATAGCTAATTTGCCTACAAACGTCAGGTGGTCATAATAATCTGGCCACTCAGTGTATAGAACAGGATCTGTAGTCCAGGTCAATTATTCACAAGGCGAAAATTTCAGCAATAAGAAAGAAAAAAAAAAAAAGAAGAAGTACTGTAAACGTTAGAAAAAGGGGGGATAATTTCAGAAAAAAAATATTAGGTTACGTGCTTGGTGTAGAACCAGAACCCATAGGATTCATGGTGAAATGAGAGACTCAACAGAGAATACTACGCACAAAAGGAAAGAGAAGACACTGTAGATGACGTACCCAAGAATCAGGAAGGAGGAAAAGGGGGGACAACACAAGCATATCAAGACAACTGATGAGGGAGAGTCACAGTGAGAGAACAGAAGGACACAGGTAAAGAAAGGGATAAGAGAGAAGTGGGCTTCTGACCAGCAAGTAAAATATTTAGATAAATTATTGGAAAAGAAATTAAGACTTATATATTATGCAATTTTATTTTTTACTCTGATATAAGATTTATTTTTGATTCAAAAATCCATTTAAAATGAATTCCATTGTGGTGTGTAAACGCACATGTTGGCATGTATTACTTTGCAACGCATTTGGCCTTGACCCCTTTTTTTTTTTTACCACACAGCGCTGCGATGCCTTGGGCTCTACAGTACAATGAATGGCACTGTAAAGCACTGCACATTGAGCAGTTGAATTGCCATGCGTTATCCTAGTGCGCGTATGCACGCATATTGCCACAACATATAAATGGACCATAAAACAGTGGGGGATGAAAAACCTTCACTAGAAGGTCACTATGACTTTTCCTTCATTTGTGTTTCCAAAAACAAAATCATCTTCTGCTTATTGCAAAACTGGTGCAATGATTAAAGCAGATGGCAAGTATTTGTTTTTTTTATGCAAGCCTATTGTACATCATTAATCTTTGTCATATTTCCTTCCTAACAGCAGCAACTAATTGTATTTATTTTCTGGTTATCTCATTAGCAATGCAATGGCTTTGTTCACAACAGATGCTTCTATTTCATATTTAAACTTTAGAGTTTAAAAAAAGAAAAATGAACACTCAACAGAAAACACAAGAAATCTTATTTGGCACAGTTGATGTATAAGACAGAATTTGCTGCAGTTGTGTCAGAAGAGGTTTACGTGTTTTGTCTTGTTAAAGGACTGCCAGCAGCTTACAGCTGTTTTAAATAAAATGGTACATGCTGAGGTATTGTTAAACTTTGAAAATTATTAGAAACAATAAAGGAAATGTAAAACAGACAAGAAAGTGATACGTATCTGATATTTGGCAAGGATCAGAGAAAAAGAAAACCCCTCCATTTCACCTTTTCTACCCATGACATATTTGTTAAGTATGAATTTATATTCTAAATTATAGCACATATAAAATAGCCTGCTAAGATGCAGGGTAGGGGCAGACATCAGGAGGAAGGATTTCTTACTCAAGCACAGGATTTTAGAGCCACCAAGCCAAGGACAACCTGGTTTTAAGTACCAGACAATTTGATCTGTCCAAGGACTGGGCTGCCTTGCCCCACAACAACAGAATGTCGTGTTGCAGGGGTCTGGAGAGGACATGGGCAAATTGGACTGACTTGAAGAGGCCAAAGTCATTTCTAAGACTCTCATGCAAAATCAAAGAATCACGCAATGCTGAAGAGTCTGGGAGAGGAGAGTTTACAGTTTCTCTTGAGGAAGGAAAACTCTGGCTTGAGCAGTGTCTAAATTAAGATCCAGTTACTCCAAACAATAAGTTGTTTCCAGCACTGACTGGAAGTTCAGGACCTAGCCGAACCTATGCAAGGTCTGTATAATTGTGGCTACATTGTTGGGCAGCACCTTATCTGACTGCTCCCTCAGCAGAAGGTCATCTAAATATCGTACAATGGGAATGCCTTCGGAGTGCAGCAAGGCTAGCACAGGTGCCAGCAGCTTGGTGAATACATGAGGTACAGAAGACAGCTTAATGACAGGGCCACAAGCTGAAAGTGCAGAGGACCCCACAGCAGAGTGAAAGAAATGCTGGCATGCTGCAAAAATGGGGACATGTAGGTATGCATCTTTGATGTCCACAGAGGTCAGAAAGTGTCCTTGGTCAGAAGAACCTTTACCAGACCTGCTGGACAGAATTTCTGGGCCTGAATGTAAACAATTAGGGCCTCATGATCCAAGACGGGGTGGTTGCCCCGTTTTTGGTTTGGGAACTGTGAACAGGTTGGAGTAAAATCCTTGGAATGGTTTTGCCATAGTGACTAGGGAGATGCCCTGCTCCAGTAGACCCGCCCAGGCTGTATGGAGGTCTGCTAATCCTGATTATAAAGAGATTGGAGAACAGGATGCGTTTTGGCACCAGTCAGGTAAGATTTCTTACCTCTCCCTCGAATTTGTCCTAGGATTGGGTTGGTAAGGTTGACATATGATTCGATCTCTATTAAATGGTGAAAAACTAACCTGTGTGCTGCGTGAATCAAGAGGTGCATGGTGTGTGACTGAGACATGCAGATCTCCCATAGTGAAACAGAGCTGTACTGTAGTTATCACTGAGCTTCTAACAACCGATCGGAGCTTTGTTTAATTATGATGATAAATATTATTGAAACGGTTGCATTATTATTGGTATAGCCATTTTTCAATAATAAGAAGATACTAGATCAGACTTTCTAAACCTTTTTGCCCCAGAGGAACCCTTGAAATGATTTTCAGGTCTTGGGCAACCACTGCTAAAATCAATTATAGCTATAGTTCACGGTACATTAGCGTGTTCCTTAAATTGTAGAACATTTTAAACAAAAGAATTTAAAATGAGGTTTACCTCACCCAGAGCAGATAGTTTTTTTTTACAACCCCCTTCTCTTTATGACAACATCATCTGCAGTGATAACATTAAAAGAAAATGAAAGGAAAGAGATGCAGACAGTAGAAATTGTTATTTATTCTTACATTTCTAATCAGTGTAGAAGTGACCCCTTGCATTGGTGGCCAGTGTAGGTGAGAGATCAGTTCGACATTGCTTATTGCACTAGCAATCTCTACCAAATTTTGGAAAAAGCCCAAGGTTCTACAGAAACCTGCTTGAGAAAGCCTGTACTAGAAACTTCCAAAACCCTGCATTAACATTGCCACATTATGTAGAATATTAGCAATGATACTGTACTTGTATATATTTTATTGTAATTATATTATTCTTATTAATACTGTATGTTTGAGGAGTTTGGAGAGTTTTCACTAAGCGCTATTTCGTCTGTCTTCACATCTATCTCTTCTGTAGTTAATTGCTTTTGACTGCTTATTCTACTTACTCTGATCAAGTGCTCCATATACTGTACATATGGGTATTACTGGTTTAGAATTCTTTTAGATTACTGTAATTTCTTTTTAGAACAATACATATTTACGAGCATCATCAAGGTGCTTTCCTTTATTTCCATATTGTTACTATTTTCTCTAAACTCACAATTTTCTACTAAATTTTTGCATATATTTCTGATTTCAAAAATTGTTTGAAAATTGTTTCCTTAGTTAAAACTCACATAATACATAATCCGAGAATCAAAGAAAACTGCACAAAAGAACACATAGAATAAAAACATAAAACTATAAAGGTACTTTGAAAATAAAAAATACTGCAAATTAAAATTTGCAGTATTAGCTAGCTAGCATCTATTTTTAATTTCTGTGAAAAAGGTAAGCTTGCACTTTCAGTAAATCATGATAAATTGTCATACTTAAGAGTATTTCCATTTACCTTATGCAATCTCTAATACTGCCCAAAAACAAGATTTTAACAATAATACTACAGCATTCTAAAAGACTATCCTATTTGATAATTATCTTACTGAAACTGACTGAAAAGTCATAAGAAACATTGGTATATACAGTTGGAAGATACAGGTTGCTGCTATTCATTTGGATGTAGTGGGTACAATTATTACAATATATCAATTGCACAATAAAGTTAGAACAAGACCATGCGTAAGGGAGAAATGTAAATGGCTTCATGTATATGTTAAAAAAAAAAATAGCAGATAGACAAGCAGACTATGAAAATAGCATGAAATACTAACCAGGTTAAAAAAGTTCCGCCTGATTGGACGTATGGCTCCAGGGAATCCTGGTCTTAACAACTCTTGAATACTAGAAGGCCATGATGAATACTTATGATCTGTTTCAATATCATTAATCCACTATAAAAAGAAAAAAACAGCCATTACTAGTACATTGCAAATGAGATGCACAACAAAAATTCAATGAGTCAAGACTTATAGGGAATAAGCTAGCAGGTGTACTAGGGCAGCATATACCCTGCAGTAACTGGACACAAGTGCCAAGTGATTCTGTTAGATCTAATCATCTCTCCCTCTTGATCGTACCAAATCATATACAATGACCTATATATAACAGAAGTCTCCATCCCTGGCTCGTGAGTATAATGCAAGAGCTAATAAGTACAAAAAGTTGCTCAGAATAATCTGTGAGCAAAAACTAGAAAGTATACAGTATATTCATGAAACTATGTACGCAAACTAAATTATTGCATGCATTTTGGAATAGATCACTCTCCCTGGATGCAGAATAGATGTGCCCAGCGACAGTGATCTATTCCAAAACGCACATAATCATGCACAATTATATGTGGACTGCTGCCTATAGATGCGACTGTTGTCACACGGTCAATAACTTGAACGGTTACAGCTGCCGCATCTAAACAAGGCAACTGGGATTCCTTACGGAGGAATCTGTAAAAAAAAAAAAAAAGTATGAATCTAACAGAATGGTTTGCTTAAATCTTTGCAATAAATACACTTCACCTTAAAAAGGGATTGGGTTTTTTGACCTCAACAAAACAAAAGTTTTTTTGAATTAATGGAGATGTTATTCAGATAAATTTGGAATTACCACGGGATCAGAATATATAGGGTGCATTCCTATAAATTTCTTGGCTGCAAATGTCTATGTCTGGTATATCCCAATATGTCTAAATGACAGCTCCCCTCAATCAAAGGAATATAATTTAAAGGCTGTAAATGTGAGAAAGGGCAGAAAAGGGCTCTTTATCCAGAGATGCAAATCACACTCATCTTTACAAGCCCAGTTCCAAAAAACTGCAATATGAAAATTGTTGACAATCCCAACCCATTTCAAGACAACATAGAAGGAAATAAAGAATTAGTACTTATGCATTTCTAATGCAGATGGACTTTGATGGCCAGAAAACAAACAGGATAGATTCCCTGTGTGTATTGATGTCCTTGTCTGCGTTATCGCGTTAATGCAGCTCCATTAATTTTTATAGAAGGGATTTTTACAAATTAAAGTTTAACAGTTCTCAAGGTAGGTAAATGTCTGCACTTTCTCAGCAATTCAAAGAAAATAAGCAACAAATAATGTCTACCAATAACAGATTATTCTAAAGCCCTCCAACCCAATTGTTAATTTGTAAAATAAAGACTTTATACAAACAATATAAAACCAAAGTCATATCCTCTACTGAAAAGGTTGCGCATATCACTACAGGTAACTATTCCATAAAAAGTAAAATGTTGTCACATGATCTTAAATGTAATATGAGTGCAAAAATAGGATTTTGTTCTTACCGTAAAATCCTTTTTCGGAGTCTTTAGAGGGACACCGTTCGAAAGAATTCTTAGACGTAGGGTTATGCTGCTGCTTCCAGGAGAATTGCACACAAGGCAAAAAATATATAAAAGCCTGCCATTTTAACGGCATAACCCTTCCCACCTCACACATGCCAGTTGAAGCAAGCAGTATAAAAGGAAATGAGGGGATGTAGCTGCTTCAATGGACTCTGAGATATGGATTTTATGATAAGAAAAAAAAAATCCTATTTTCTCTATTGTCCATTGAGGGATACAGCTCTGAAGAATTCTGAGACGTAGGGACATTCAAAAGCAGTCCTAACAGAAGGACGGGCACAACCACTAAAAAAACCACCTCAGCAAAATGAACTGTCAAAATATACTTAAATAGCTGCCTGAGGAACTTTTCTGCCAAAACTAGCACCAGAGGAGGCAGAAACAACAACTTTATAAAACTTTGCAAAAGAGTGAACAGAAGACCAAGTTGCAGCCTTGCAAATTTGGGTAACAGAAGCTTGATTTTGTAATGATCAGGAAGTACTAATTGCCTTAGTAGAATGAGAAGAAACAGGAGAAAGAGGTACCTTATCCAGCAACTCATGAGCTTAAATGACCTGACAAATCCATTTAGAAATATTGGATATAGAAGCTGATCAACCTTTTCTGGAACCTTCTGGTACAACAAATAAAGAATCTGAATGTCAGCTGTGGCTGACAGATAAACTCTAATAGTCCGCAAAAGAAAACATTTCCTTAGGATAAACAAGAGCTAGAAAAAGTGAAGGTAAAACAATATCTTCTTTCAAATGAAAAGCTGAACCAAAGTTGGTTAAAAAGAAAACCTGTGGGCTAAACAACAACCTTGTCCTTATGAAGAACCAAACAGCATTCTCTACAAGCAAGACAAAGCAGACAAATTGGAAACCATTCCTGCAGAGGTAATTGCCAAAAGAAAAGCAACCTTTTTGGACAACAATGATAAAGAATGATCAAAATTGGTTCAACAGGAGGTTTTTGTAGAAGAGTCAAATCCAGGAGGAAGAGGCGACCTAACAGGAGGTACCACACCTGCAACTCCCAGAAATATATACAAATCAAGAAATTAGAAGCTAGAGGGTATTGAAAAAGGGCAGACAAGGCAGATATCTGACCCTCAATGCTACTGAGAGCTAAACATTGATCTAACCCTAGTTGAAGGAAAGACAAAATTTGCAATATAGAAAAAGCCCATGGGGAAAACTCCAATGACACGAACCAAGTTAAGTAAACCTTCCACATACAGTGATACATTTTAAGAGAAGAAGATCTACGAGCCTTCACCAGAGTGGGGATAAAAGAACCTGAAATTCCTCTGGTTTTAACAGCGAAATCTTCTAAATTTAAATAGGAGCACACAGCCTCAATTAAAAAGGCAACGGTTTCTTTCTGATGCTGAGTAATAGCAGATGAATGGAAATCAACCTGACCAGTCCCATCTTCAACAGAAATAAAAATTTACAATCAGATATAGAATCTTCTGGAAAAGCAAATCGCAGTTCCAGACATATCAGGCATTTCATGCTGTGTAAACAAATACACAGGCATTAGACAAATGCTCATGAACATTTATGAGTTGTCCAAAACAATACAACAAAGGAGTACAATAAAGAAATACAATTAGGAAGGGAAATAAGGGCATATTTGAAAAAGGCTATGTCGTATAGGATGGCTTCACATCCATCCTCTAAACAGAACGTTTCACAAAAAGTAGTATAGGCCATGGTTAGGCCGTTAAAAGGAACCATCAAGCCTCAAAAATGGTGCAAAGTTATCATAGCCCCATACACTGAGGGGTGGTGTGGAATTGGTTGGGCATTACCCAAGGAGCATTATACAATGTGGGCGGTTCTGTGTGGGTATCGGGAAATGTAACCATTCCAGAGGGTCTAGAGATGTTTAAAGGGAGAAAAGGAGGACAAGAAAAAAGAAAAAGAAAGGTTGGGGGGGGGGGTTTAGGCAAAGAGAGGGTGGTAAGAGATACGCGAATGGAAAAGGCAAGAAGGGGAGAGGGTTCCGTCCGGTCTCCCCAGTAGGAGAGAAAGGGGGATAGGAGCGCTGAAAAGAGAGGAGAATCAGTCAATCACCGCTGAAGACCTGCATATGAGCCTGAATCCCTAAATAGATGCCACAACATGCAAGCATTTAGATATCTGGACATGTCATCTCTGCTGGAAAATAGAAGTTCCTCCATGGTCGACACTATATCCCCCCGTGAGAGCCACTCCCGGATTGTTGGCGGAAGAGGTGATTTCCAACGTTGAGGAATCACGTTTTTTGCCGCGGTCAGCAGATGGATTGGGAGAGATTATTGGAGATGTGTAGGGTTACATCGAAATTATATAATAAGAGGCAGGCTGGGGAACATTCTAACAAAACACCAGTTATGGTTCTAATTAGAACATGAACCTCTGTCCAAAAAGGTGAAATCAGTGGACATGACCACCATATATGTAGGAGTGTGCCCACCTCCTGGTTGCATCATCAGCATAAATTGGGGGCATCTGGATAGATACGATGGAGTAGGGCTGGGGTCTTGTACCATCGCAAGCGAAGTTTGTAGTTAGTCTCTTGGATTTGAACGTTTAGGGAGCTTCCCAGCATCAAAGAATCCATGGGTTCCCACTCCTGTGTTGAGTATGTAGTGGACAAATCGCCTTCCCACACCCTAGTGGAGAGCGTTGGTAGCCGGTTAGAGGAATCGTTCAGAAGGAATTAGTCGCTGATATTGTATGCGTTACCCTTTGGGGGGAAGTGCATAGCTTCTCGAATGGAGTTAAAGATAGTGAAAATGAGCCTCTGTTCATACGCGAATTGAGGAAATGGCGAATTTGTAGGTATGACCACAATGGTATGGGAGAAGAGGGGCAGCTGGCATTCAAGTCTGCATGTGTTCGGAATGCACCCTGTCTATCAAAGAACATGTGAGCAGTCAGGGGAGCATCAGGGGATCATCGGCGCAAGAAGGATCTATCAAGACCGGGTTCATGCGGATCGGTGTAAGAGGACCCAGAGCAGATGAGAGGGCCGTTCTGTTGTTTACGTTGGCAAGGGTACGCAAGGAGGCACCTGTCGTTGGATGAGTTAACACTTGGGCTGGAAGATGGGGGCGTTGTAGCCATGGCCAGGAGTTGATAGGTATGTCTGACAAGAGCTGTTCTATTCGAACCCAGTCCTTACAGAAGGCATGAACCGACCAATCTATAATGCGGGTCAGATGACAAGCCCAGTAATATCGTTGTACATGGGTGAGGCCAATACCTCCTGAGCCTTTAGGACGAGTGAGAGTTTGGGTCCTTGGGCCCCTTTTGCATCACTTACTGCAATTACTTTTGCACGATATTCTAATTATTCGAGTTTCACCTGTAAGAGCCGGGGAAGAGCAGCCATCTTTAATATAGCTGCTCTGCCAAATCCATGATTAGAGTGGTTTATTCCATTCTTTCAGATCTAGTCTTAGTTGGGAGAGGTGGGAAACATGGTTGAGGGAGTATAAGTTATGTAAATTAGTAGGGATTTTTATTCCTAGTTATGTAATGGCATTTTCTGCC